AAATTGGACAGTCTTCTACTATCCGATTTGAGATTATTATTAGTCGTCATGTTATTTGGTTCTGTAGCAATCTAAAAAACATTAGACATACACACCACCAGATTTCGTGACGGCGTCCAATTCTATCAGTCGCCATAAGATGTTGTTTGCCTGATCTTGTCCAAAATGTTTACCCAAGTCTACAGTCCATGCAGACAGTCGGGCAAAATATCTCATTGGAACATTTGATGGGATTGCATCGTACGGACAGCGGAACGATGCAAAAACAACAAATATCGGCGGCAGGACGGGACGGGTTCAAGGCGAGCGGCCATTGTTGCTGTGCGTAGTTTGATCTTCGTTTCTAACAGATATTCGTACTTTGGCCTCACGCAGCATAAATAATGTTCTCTGTATTGTCATTGATTCTACAGTTGTCTTGCATTATTATTAAGCTCTTATTAATATGCCAGAAGACATTACAGCGCCAACTACTCCTATAGTTACTAAGAACTGTTACTTAGATACTGTTGAAAGATATATTTAGATACGTAATATGCATAGAAAATTGCTATGCAGTAAGGGGATTGTTACGAATTGGAATTAAGGACCCTATTGTTGGCTCGAGCTTACGAGGTAGGATGTACGGTGGATTAATTCCTAATAAATTCTCCAGGACGGGCTAACTAATCTCATTCAGGACATACTATCATCATTCATTGATGCCCCGTCAGCGTAATCCGTTAGTCAAGGCGGAAGTTCAATATCAACAACACCCATAAAAAATCGTTAATATCGCTCACCTACAGAGAGAAGACGCTAGAGGCCAACAGTGGTATGTTAAATGATTTTGATGACAGAATTTAGACATATTTCTCGATGCTAATCGGTCCCTACCAGAAGTAACATTAGCGTTGACAACCGACGGTGTTTTCAACATTAGTAACGTTGACACAAGTGGCAAGTGGTACTAACGAGACATCCCCGACGATTGATAGTACTTGTACGTAGTGATGTGCCGGATCGTAAAAAATGTGTATCCACGGATACGAACATAGTCTATTCTGGTCAATATCCGCAATTTCTTCGTTCCTTCAGTAACCTTAAAATCGGCAATTGATGTTTTATAAATGACATCATCATAACCACTAAACTACATATATTAGTAGGAACACTCACTTATAAAGTGTGTCAACAATCATATGTAGTTTTATAACTTGTTCAAAAGAACAACAGGCAAATTTCTAGCTTTTCTTGGATATATAAATAGGCTTTAAATTAGAAACATTAATTAAAAATGCTCTAAGTTTTAATTATTTAATTGCTATACATATATCAAGAATTTTATACATTTCATAATGTAAGAGATCCGATACGCGGATCTGTTTCCTCTAATATATCCGTGGATACGGATATGAATAGCAATATCAAGCACATCACTACTGGTACTCCAGGTGCAGCGGTGTCTGCGCCTAGAACAATTAGGGTGCGAGTGGTGCGTGCGGCGTACGGCGCGCGGCCTGCATTCTCAGAGGCCGAGCGATTCGCGCCGCGCTAAATATAGATAGCGAACCGCCTCGGAAAGGTTAAACCAGAATTAGACGCGCCAAACTTAACTTGCACTTATTTTTGCAACTAGCAGCCGGGCCGAGCGTTCACCCCCGCGATACGTGATCATGAGGACTTATTTTTTTTGATGGGTGATAGTGATGTACTCTCCTGCGGTAACAGTTTACGTTGGCTAGGCATCAGGATGATAGGATGTGTAAAGGTCATTTGACCCATCACGCCAAATTCGCTAGGAATTTATCAGGGTGGTTTCCGGGGGAACCCGACATGGTACATTGCTTGCAATGAGTTCAGGATGGATTTTCCACAAGTAAAAATAAAAGGGTGGATCGCGTGGATGTAGAATTGACATATGGGACATGCCTGGCAATATGTCCACTTGTTCACACTACCTAAAGTAATTTATCTACAGTTAGTATCCACAGTTTAATAGGTAATTAAACTTTTTTAGGTATTTTATTAGAATGTACAAAGGTTTGGTACAAATGAGCATTCGATTTATTTGTGCCTACTATACGAATACGTTAGACACATTGATTACACTAGACAAGCATACACAGATGTTACATATCTATTCATTCGCACTTGATGAAACAGTAAATTAACAATACTGGATTATTCCAACGCGTAAGGAATGTATAAAAAAACGTCTGTCATTAATGACCCATAAAATTACAAGGATATATGGTATATATGGTTTATGTTTGTTTTGGATTGGACGGCAGGCAGTTGTTTCTAAGAATCCAGACAAATATTAATAGCGTTAGTTGTTGATTCGAAGAAATCTATAAGCATGTTCCAAATAGATTTCATGCTATCAATGAAGCATTGAAAATTAATGCGCAAATTACGAGTGCGTCGAATTGCTCTCACACTTAGCCTTGTCTAGAAATACAGAGCACAAAATTTGATGCTAGTTTCCAATATAGTTTTGTAGCTTAGTTGCCATATATTTTTCCTTTCCTTTCATCTTCTTCCTCTTTTGTCTATTTCAGCTGTCATTCAAAAATATCTGTTATATCTTAGATCGGACGTAGTGAATGATGAAGAGACTAAATTGATCTAAGAGTACGGTGTGCTCGCCCTCCATTAAGTCGGGATCCAATATTCTGGTAGAAATTTTGATAATGCCTCTCATTATTTAACTGTTGACGTTGCGATGAAGTCGACATTTAATTTTGCTACATTACACTGAGAATTGATTGTGGCAGAGGGTGGTCCTAATGTTGTCTCTCAGATTCATTTTGAAATTTTTCAACCTTCGATGAGTTTGTCAAAAATTTTAAATGTCGGACAAAAATTTGGAATCGCTCATTTTAACGTGTACAAAGTCCCAATTAGAAACTACTTTGCTATAATACACATTTAAGCCAGCCATTTCTATGTAGCTCTACACTGTTACTATACCATTTTCGACCGTATGTCATAGCACGTATTTTTCTATTAGTTTGCATATGAGCTAATGATATTATTAAGTACTCTAGAGGCAGGTATAACGAGGTGACACGAGATTGTCATCGCGACGTAAACACGTCGACAGCAGGTACCGACAGGGCTGTCAACCGTAGTACGACCATTGTGAGGGTAGATTTTTATTCGTCCATCTATGTACAAGGATATTGTAGTACTTGTATAAGTTTATACTTATACAAGTACTACAATACATTTTGCCATTAAAAGTTTGAGAAAAGTTTTCGCTGCGATTTTGTTACGTAAAAAGTCAGGATTAGGCATGTGACAATATGTTACTTTGATGTAAAAGTTTTTAGTCTGGTAACCCCTGTCGGTATACAACACTAGTGTTGACACTACTACATAATTAACTAGGTGTTACTTGGTTTATGGACATCCATAAAAATATTCCGCCGTTAACATAATAATTGCATTGTCGAAACCGAAATTACTATCATGGCTCAGCGATGATTTATTGGCGTCATCCAAGTGTTAGGTTTTAGGAATATTATGGTAAACAATAAAGTAGCCTATATATAATACTAGGTGTTAGAAAATGTCGAAAACAACTTGACTTGCATAAGTGGTAAAACCTAATTAGCAGCCTGTTTAATTGAAGGTGCATTAGTGATTAAACTAAATATAGTTACCATGCGGAAAATATATAAAGCTACTGACTTTCAGCATCTAATTAAATTAAATGCGTCATCTGTTTTGTGTTCTAAATGAGGAAATCTCTAAAAATACCGCGCGTCATATTAATAAACGTTTTGTTTGATCCACTAGTGAATATGGTAGTCTAGTGGATCTAATCAGTCGTTGCAGCCAGTCTATGAACTGTGTACATTATAGTCATCATTCGAGATAAACTACCGAAGTTGAGTACAAAGTCTTCTGCGTGCGGCACCTTTGCATCATTTATTTGAGTAGTACCAGCTTCAACAGTATTTCTATATAATTATCCCTTTAAATTATAGGCTACGGAACATGACCTTAGTCCTCAGGAATGATGACGAGCCGTTTATGTTCATGTATTTAGAGGAGTGTTACTGTCGGGCACATGTTTATAGAAAAATAGTTGAGAATTTTTTAACAATCAAACTGTCATCAGTACAGGCAATTTGTAAAGTCATTTCCTCGATTTTCTTTTAATATCTAGTCTTCAAGACTGCGCAGATTCTTCCGTAGAAATAATCTGGCGGATATTAGACGCATAGGTTGATGTACAATCAAGGATTACGTTACTTGTACAGACATCTAAGGATGAAATGAGATATTCCTGTATTATAAAATGATTAAACTCATACAAGTCGTTCACACAGACCTAATCCGTTTATAATCCGCACAGCTCAATCTAACACTAAAAATTAACCCAAGTATATGCAATTGCGACATCGTAACACCATAAGTGTACTCGTCCTTCGATCGTGAGATTATGAACTGATTATTGTGACAGATGTTTACATGACGTCAAAAAGTCAGCTAAATGTAAATGGTGCCTCTGTATTTTTTTGCGTTGATGTTACTGATATACTGGTTCAGTTTGTGAGTATTCTCTGAAGGGATCTCTAAACGCTATGTAAATAAATCTTGGCATATCATGATGTAGGATACTCTTTATGCCGGTCAATCATCGTCATGCGGTTAAACGTTAGCATTACGAAATACAGAGATCAGTTTGTGTGAATACTTATCTTTCGTCTATTTCGACTACCAAGTAGATTGATTTGTAAGATATATTTCGGTTGGACATGGTACGGAGGCATAGTAAGTTGATTCTCTGGAATGGCAATACTTGAGGGATACTACGGATGACACAAGATGACGTGATGTCAGATGGTACTGTGTATAGGCAACCATTAACACATACCATCATCTTGGTTGCATTAAAACTAAGTACGGATTTGATAATGTAATAAGATCATTGTAATAGGACCCATCTACGCTATCGCACAAAATGCTAACATAAAATTTACGTGTATTTTTTCTGACTATTCCAGGCAACGGCACGATAGATTTCCCAGAGTTCCTGACGATGATGGCGCGCAAGATGAAAGACACGGACAGCGAGGAGGAGATCCGCGAGGCTTTCCGCGTATTCGACAAGGACGGCAACGGGTTCATATCGGCCGCGGAGCTGCGCCACGTCATGACCAACCTCGGCGAGAAACTCACCGACGAGGAGGTCGACGAGATGATCCGCGAAGCAGACATCGACGGCGACGGCCAGGTCAATTACGAGGGTAAGTTGCCGCACTCAGCACACGAACAATGTTCACGTGAGATAGGCTCAGCGTTCAGGTTTACAGGAGCATTTGTAGCACTAGAATCGATGATTGCGAATTTGGATTCTATTAACTGTGTAGGCAATGTTTTACGGTGATTTAAAGTTATCGTAACATAATTATGGGAGAATCATTGGAATGTTTTAGACGGTGCTACTGAAATATCTTGCTAGTTCTATAGTATACTCTCAGATGTTTTGGGGTTGACAAGTCCAAAACCTTGGAATAAATTGAGATTACTAGTCTAACAATTAATGAACTGTAAATATATTTGTATATTTTGTTGATAAAGCTGCAGTGAAATAATGTAATTCATGTTTTTTAAACAGTTTTTTTAGCATATCCGATACTCCGTGGTCCGTAACATGATCTACATTTTGTATATTTGCAATTAACATTAATCGTTTCAAAATTACAATAATCAACCATATTAATGGCCCGTGTGTGTCACGATTGATACATTCATGTCATTGGTCATTTTTAGAATTCAGTGACTTTGTTTACTATCGTGTCGCGATGTATGTATGTACGGATAAGACGATAATATACCAAACGGAGATCATATCACAGATAAAATAAAAGTGATGACCATTAATTTTTTACCCTTAAATGGTAAGGTACCCATAATGTTATGTACTTTAGAAGTCTGTAATGATTCTCCCAAACCTCGGTATATAATATATAGATTATAATAAACTTGTTCATATTTTCCGTGAATCTCTAATAATGTTTAGTAATTGCTGCAGAGCATTTTGTAAACCTGAACCTGACGCAATCGGCTCGATGTTTTTTCCTAGTGTACGCAGTACAAGAGGTGGCCAAATGTGACATGGTACTTAGTTTTTATCATTACACAAAGATAAGATTGTGTCCAGCGGTCCGGACTGGTTCGATTACGTCAATTTGTAACATACAAGGTGTCGCAGTACCTACTGGATACGAACTAAATACTGTATCCGAATTAGCTCCGCGTATAATAAATGCATTAAATCAAGATGTAAATTTATTTATCCCAACATGTATGGGAAATAAATTTATTTCATTTAGATTTAGTATAACACTATGGTGTTGACTACACGAACACAATACCACCCTCTTGTGTCAATAATGCTATATGTACAAACGACGAACCTACACCGTCCCCGGCCCTGGCCCCGCATGTACAGATGTCATCACACGCTAACACGGTTGGGATTTGCTTGCGTCCAAAAATCACGAGGATTCCTCCTCATAAAAATGTTTAATAGTACTCAATGTTTACATTACTCTTGATTTACGAACACCGTGATTTTATAATGAAAGCATTGTTGCCAATTTATATATGTTCCCACGCTGACACGTTAGAACTGTTGCCATACACGAAATGAATTTAATGGGGATATTCGCTTATAACAATCCCCTGTGCAGCATTGTAGACACGTCGGCAATTAGATTAGATATGTTTTGTATGTTGAGCTTATACAAGTACAATAGTTGGTCAGCGCTCGTTATATGTTGATGATTATGTAGTATGTATATATTAAGAAGTGACTCCATCGATATTATATCACGTTGTGTACCTAACGATCGCCAAACACAACACGTTTCGCCGTGGTCCGCACCGTGATCCGTGGCGAAACGTGAATTTTTGGTTATTGAACCCCGATTGCGCAATGAGTCACAGTAACGTGACCGGCGATTAGACATTGCTTGGTAAGTTGGACGCCTGCTGCCCCGCTCTGCATGGATTCAGTGTTATGTTACGAGTATGATGAAAAACTGCGCTTGGGCGGTCGCCAGCTGGCGTCACGTGGCGGTGAGCGTTACACAAACAAACGTGGGGTGTCCAGCGCGAGCGGACCTCGTCCGCAGTCGTGTACGCTCGCCGTCTGCAGCCCCGCGCCTCTGCACCAGGGATGCCAACCGCTCATATACCAGTTCGCCCTTTGGTACGAGGTCCAAGTTTATACGAGATTTTGGTCTATGAATGTCGGTCAAAGTATTATAATGTCCAAAGTTGGAGGCTCAAACTCAGAGGGAAATTATGAGATTTCTTGATTTCTTCTTACGACGATAAGTGTTTGGCAACCCTGGCTCGTGCGGACGGGGCGAGGTGCAGGTGCACGCGCCGGCTGGTGTGTGTGTGTATGCTGTATCATCCGACCGAGCGTTCTCTCTCTTGCAGACTTCCATGCCCTCGCCCAAATCATATTCGCTCGCGGGGACGGCAGCCGCTAGCGCGCGGTCCGCCGCCACACTTGTGATATTAGTACCGTAACTAACAATAAGAAAAGACTCTACGATAACGCTGTGATCTCGAAACGATTTCCCTTAGTAGTGTGTAGCAAAGTGCCCAACCGACGGCCTACGTACGTGGAGCGCGGTCCGACAATAGGTACATGAGAAGTGTTAATATGAATGGTTTGCTGCTCGTTATTAACTGTACTCCTCCTCGTACCTTGGATATGTTAGCTGCTCCCGCCACACCCCGCCACCCCCCGTCACCCCTCGTCACCCCTCACCTCACACTCTGGGATCTCACCACTTGACTATCGATTGTGTCTCTGTTTCCCTCGCCCCGGCTATCGGGCGAATGCAACCGCGTGGATGCGGCGTTGCACCCGCCCGAGCCGCCGGTTTGCCGTCTCTATACCGCCTGTGTATTGGTGCATGTATCTAATATTTGTATAGCAACTTTTCTTTTAGAAATACCACCTGGCGATCCCTCCCGGCGCGACCCGCGCGTCGCTCGCTTGCCGCACACTTTGTTCTTGCGGACGCGGAACAAAGCAGCATCCGTCCGTGTACTGTTACCGTAAACGAGCAGCAACCAAACAAACAGACGTCAGCGCACGTACCGTTGTTTATATGAGCGGACCATATAGGCTTGTCGCACTGGCATACGGCGGGGCGCATTCATAACTATATGGCATTGTTTAAATGTAACCGATATCCAGAGGGTGGTATTTCACATAATCCCTTTGTAGTGGCATGACAAGGTAAATTTCTTGTCGGTTTAATTGTTGTTCGTTGTACCACCGAGCATACGGCTCGCCTTGTACTGCTGATGCGAGTCGGCCGCAGGCGTATGCTCGGCGCCCGGGCCCCGTGCCCGCCTTTCTAATAGCGGTTATTACATCTTTATTAGTGCATCTAAATTCGTGTCGGTCACTTTTTTCGTTGTGTTAATATATATGTGTTAACATTTTATCTTAGACATGTTATGCAAGGGTTTATGTGAAACAGTTTCTTGTACATCTTATATATTTTGCGTGTGATAATGATGATGGTGCGCGTTAATGACGCAATTTTTTTTTTCTTTCCAGAATTCGTCACCATGATGACGTCGAAGTGAGCCGCCGGCTAGTGTGTGTGTAAAAAGCAGAGAATTTAAATATACATTTTGTTTCATGACACACAATATTACCATCGTATTGGACCTGCATTTCTCTAGTGTTTTGCGATAAATTAAATATTGTCATCGTTTCAGTTTATATGATGTATGTAATTGTATGGCGGGCGGCGGCGGGGGGCGCGCCTCCCCCCGCGGCCCCTCGTTTAGTCTTAAAATATTCCGTTAATTTTACTATGTAAGAAAAACTTTTAACTGTAGCGGTACAAATGGAAACGAATAGGTGTGCAATCGCAATGTGATGGTTATAAGTGTCGGATTCGTGTCGGCTCATAATTTATATTTGTGTATATTACTGTACTGCGCGCCTGTGCTGTGTGTGTGCGCACGCGCTGCCAGCGTCCGCACCTTTCCGATATACATTTTAATGTAAATTTTTTTCAAGTATGAGATATTTATAAAGTACGTGAATGATAAAAATTTGAAAAATCCCAAAAAAATTAAGGTGTAGAGTGGTGATTGTCCGTGGCGTGGTAGTGGACTCGAGCTGGTGGTCACCCCACACAGGCTCGACCCCCTACTTCGTGTACACCAGCGGTCACCACCGATGTTTCAATCTGACTCGGCAAGCGAATAAATTAGATTTATCGATACTGTAATGCATCAATTGTATCTGTAAATTACTTGGTAACTATATTTCTATTGTTGGTGAAACTAATACTATCGTAATGAAAGTATTCCGCTCTGTTACTATCTTAACACATTTGAACTCATTCTGTTATTAAATTTTACAAAAGACATACTGAAAATAAATGTTTCTTCATTTTTAGGTCAATAAGTATCGGTGTTTCATTTAGTCCCGTTGTTTAGGTTTAGTTTCGCCGCTACCCTGCACGCCACCACTCGTTCGCCGCCGGGAGCCGTCTCTCTCTCTATCTCACTCCCGCACTCTCTATCTCTATTCGGCTAGACTATCCGCTAACGGTTACTTTGTTATTTATTTGTAATAGGTACTTAATGTAATAATAAATACATGCCATAAGATAATATGTTTATTTAATGTAAACCTTTATATATAAATACAAACAGTCATATTGACTGGATATGTAATTACATTGCATGTAAATTAATGGTTAAGAGCAATATTGATCTATTAAGTTGCAACAGTAGGTGCATGTTGTATACTATCATAATTTTGTGTGGGTAAAGAATCGCAAGATTTTACTCTCACTAAAAGGTCAATATTTTTATAAAAATTGCAAAGGAAGTGCCATAGATCATGCATGTTTTATACTGTCATAATTTTATGTGAGTAAAGAATCACTAGATTTTACTCTCACTTAAAGGTCAATATTTTCATGAAAATTGCAAAGTGCCATAGATCCTACTATTGTCTGTCTTCGTAAACGGCAATTTACAACAGTGGTTTCCAGGCAGAACTACGTAGAAATAACCAATACATTAATAGCAATGGGGTACACATTACTAACAATCCATTTCCCCCAATAGGGATACATTGACCTAAGTTTGTGGGTAAGCTACCCAACTCCTTTTCTTAGACATATGAGGGGTATGCAATATGAAGCGGGGAGGGATCACGTGACCTCTATATAAAATGTGATCCATAGATTAGGAAGCTATGCATGAATTTGATAGGATATTATTTGAGATACATCTAATATTCATATAGTATCCAAGTATAGAACATAGGCTGGTAATAATTTAATATATGTGTACGAGCTAGCATCGTACATTATTTCGCAACATTAACATTTTATTTTACATTTCAAATTTCATTAAATCGGTTCGGTCCTTCGAGCCGGATCAATGTTCGGGTTGTACCGAAACTATAAAGATTCTGATAGGTAAAACTGATAAATGATACTGATAGAAACTTGATTAAAACTGTATATTGAAACTTAACTATAACTGATTAATGATTGTAATGAGTACGCGCGGCGTCCTTGATGACCGAATGCGAACTGATTTAGTGAAATGTGAAATGTAAAATAAAATGTTAATGTTGCGAAATAATGTACGATGCTAGCTCGTACAATATGACTAATATTTATACAGTACTAGCTGTTCCCGCGATTACGTCCGCATGGAATTTAACTTTGTTTTTCTAAAATAAAAGTATCCTAAGTTACTCCTTGTTACATCAGCTAACTGCCAAAAAAAGTCCCGCCATGTCAGAGATCAGCCGGAACAAACATACAGACAGACAAAAATTCTAAAAAATATTTTGGTGCATGTACCGTATTTATATTCGTATGCATGTAGTAAAAAACTGTTATTTCAATATTACAAACAGACACTCCAATTTTATTTATATGTATAGATAAAAACATGAGGTAGTTTTTTATGTATGATAATGGATTGATGCACTCACAGGCGGAGCACCAGTGGAGGATGATAAGATGAGGATAAGGTCAGGTCAGTTAGCCCATTCTGATAAATTCACCAGGTTGATCTCCTCGCCGCCATCGTGATAAATTACAATGGTTTCCAGCGGGAACCGTGTGGAGGTCAACCTGATATGGTACATTGCCAGTAATGGGGTCATAAGTCCACATTACTAACAATTCCCTTTCCTCCAACATGAGGTGGTAGACCACACAATAAATGAATAGGCACAAGGAATAACAAGGTTAAAGTAGAAATCGCAAAATTTAAGAAATCTCAATCTCTCTAGGTATTACATGAAAAGCATTATACAGTTCCAGAGGATCCACGTACATTCATAGGAATGTAATGAATGTAGGTATAAACCTATTAGAAAAAAACTAGACAAAAAAATTTTTTCTTTGTCGCTGTCGGCTAACAGTAAATAACCGCATTTTATCAATATAATTAACGGTAGCTAACGGGTTTTGTAGAAAGAAAATAGAAATTTATTGTCAATCAATAACTATACTACGGATATAGTGTGTGCAATATTGTCGAGTGAGCCAGTATCGGGAGAAAGCTTGAAGGTGATGGTCAGTCGTCGGTGGTGGGTGGTGCCGCGAGCAGGCGGAGCGCCAGTGCGAGCGCGCGCGCGGGCCGGCCGGCCGCCCGCCGCGGCTGCAGGTAGGGCGCCGCCCCCGGGCCCGGGCCCGCCGCCGCCGCCTCCACGCCGCGCGTGTCCACGTGCACCCACTCGCAGCACACGAACCGCTGCTCACACATACATACATACATATTATTATACAACATAGTCAATTATTTAGTCACCAATTAAGACGTTGGAATATCCGCTCGGTTGTATTTATGAACATACTACCTGTGCCCGTGGTTTTATTCGCGTGAAATTTATAGCCTATATGTTATTCTGATATATACGCTAAATATATCATATAGTAAAGTTTTAAGATGTTATTCTGGTGTATAAGTTATATCACTGTAAAGTTTCTTCAAAATCAGTTCCTTAGTTTTTGCGTGAAAGAGTAACAAACATCCATTCATATTAACCAATTTTCGTGTTTATAATATTAGTAAAATAATAATAACACTCTCAAGACAATTCACACAGCGCCATCTAGACCCAAGTTAAACTAGCTAAAGCTTGTGTTATAAGTACAAGATAACTGATACAAATACATAGATATATTTTTTTCGTAAAAACATACATATTATACATAGAAAGCATCCAGACCGATACAAACAATCATACAATTGTTTGTGCCGTGCGAAGAATCGAACCTGCGACCATCGGATTGTAACCTCTTAGGCTATCGAATTTCGCATAATGTGCAAACAAACAAGTCCTCTGCGTACATATTAATGGAACATAATATAAGCTAGGGGTAAAAGTGCACGGTAAAATAAAAAAAAACAATCTAGTCTCCATACAAAATCCATTATACACAGCCAAAAGTCCTCTGTGTATGAGTATCTACCATCATTACGTAGTATAAAACAAAGTCGCTATCGCTGTCTGTCCGTCACTAAGTATGCTTAAATCTTTAAAACTACGCAACCGATTTTGATGCATTTTTTTTAATAGAGTGATTCAAGAGGAAAATTTATATATATAATACATGTACACCGGGGCGAGTATCTAGTAATTAATGCATTACAAAAATGCAAATGTATGATAAACAAAAAAATCTACAATCCATACAAAAGCCGTTCTGTGCAGGCAGGCATACAAATAACATACCCTGAGAAATGCTGCGCCGAGACAGGGTGTCGCTTTCCCGGAACCTTTATTTCTCAAATCAACTGATGGGTCATCTGAAAAAGTACATTCAGAATTAGTATGCTGGTGTTTGACAAAGTGGAACAGTAGGCTAGACTGATTGGTCTACCTCAATCACTGTTTACACAAACATTTACAATCAGCCGCTTCCCCTGCCACTCGCGCTGCCGGAAATATTGCGTAAACACACGCTTCCACTCGCGTACGAAAAACCGACAATCGAGGGAGCGCCGGGCAGCGAAAGTGATAGCGCTAATGGCATGGGAAGTATCATGTTTACACTCTCGCGCTGCGCACTTCCCTGCCCACTCGGGCTGAGTGTAAATTGGGCATTAGGACTAGCGGGGAGGTTATTTCACCACAGTAACATTATGTATGATGTGATGAGGTGTGGTGACATAATATATTAGCTAACAGCATGTAGGTAGTGAATATACAGGTGAAATAATTGTACTATTTATTGTACATTAGTAAGTTTATTTGGTAGTGTGCTACATGGCTTATTAGTAACGCGGAGTCGGGACGTAGACTGATTTACACTGAACTTAAATCTATGTTAGTGGAGACGTGAACTAATGGAAGGCTCTCAAGTGTTGACAGAAATATAATAAGGCACAAGACTATGCAGTTTATCGAAATTCTTTTTGTGACTAGTCTCAACTGAATCGGCAAAGAGGCAGAAGATATACAGATTGTATTTATAGGAAGTTGTGATTAATTCTTTCATTCATAATTTAAGAGCTACGCTGTTGTCGGTTGGGCTCTTGTGATTAATTAGGAGAAAATTTAAAGAGATCAATATTCTCACTGCAACTTCAAAGTATATATACACAAACTTTGATTTATTTCTCAAAAATAGTGATTTCGAGAACCTTAACCCTAGATACAAATACAAACCTGCAGAACCCAAATATAATTTAGATTTAGAAGTTAATGTCTTATGGTAATGGGCATTCAATTTTACAATATAACCAAAAGATATTTTGGATCTACCTTTTAATGACTTAAAAAAAATAACAATACTCAATAAAGCTTTACTCCTTTTATAATTATTTGTCAGATGAAGTTGAATGGCGACAGTTGTTTTATACAAAGAAAAGGTATATGAAACTCGTGAAAAAATCTGATGAAATCGCCACGATCGCCGACCGATCTACTTCATTCATCTTATCACACTCCACTGGTTTCCCGCCAGCGTATGCTGTTAGAAAAGGTGGCTGCACCATTCCATTATGATCCACCCTTACTTCCTTACTCCTTCCTAATATTATAAATGCCAAAGTAACTCTATCTGTCTGTATGTACGTCTCGCTTTCACGTCAAAAACAACTGAACCAATTTAAATGAAATTTGGTACACAGATAGACTCTGAGAAAGGACATTGGCTACTTTTTAATACGAAAAAAGGGTTGTAAGGGGATGAAAGATTGTATGGACGATTCTTCACTTTTTAGAAGCTTAAAACTTATTTTTAAGGTTCTTGATTAAATATAAATAAATATTACATTCAAAGTTTGTAAAAATTTTACCCTTAAGTTGGTTAAATAAAGTAGAGGACAAAATTCGTCATTTTTGAAGCTAGACGTTTGAAACTTATTTTTTAGGCTGTTGATTGAATTGTACGGAAATTTGTATCCTCATTTTTGAAGCTAAAAC